GTAACACACTAAATGAAAAAAATTTTAAAATAAAAAAACCAAAATAAAACTTCTTTTTATTATAAAATAAGAAGAAAAATGGCAAGATGACAAATGAAAAGGGAGGGAGTTTCTTATTTGATCAAGTATTCTTCCTTCTACCAACATACAAATTTGTAGGCCTATATATAGGCTAAGGGACATAGGAGGTTACATTTGCCATTGAATAGGACTAAATGAGAGTATGAATGGCACCTTAATGGACACTTCAATGGCACCTTAATGGCCCCTTTGAATGGCCTGTTGAATGGCCCTTTGAATGGCCTTTAGTAGGTGGTCAAGAATGACCCTTTAATGGTGAGGAATGAACCCTTAATTGTGAGGAGTTGCAATATGTAAAGATGAATGTGAAGGTGAAGCATCAACTAATAAGAAAATTCACAATACTCCCCCTTGGATGCTCACCTTTTGTATTTTATACGCTTTTAAACCGCCTCATTAAAAACCTTGTCAGGAAAAACCCAATGGGATAAAAACCATAACGAAGGGAAAAAGAGTGCAGTACGTATAAAACTCCCCCTCATTTCAACGAAGCTCTTTAAGATGCCGCATGCCTATCTTGTGTACAAGTTGTTCAAAAACTTTGGTAGGCAATGACTTGGTGAAGAGATCTACAAGATTCTCATTTGAACTAATTTGCTGAACATCTATTTCACCAGCATTTTCAAGTTCATGTGTAGAGAAAAACTTTGGAGAAATATGCGTGGTTCTATCTCCTTTGATAAATCCTCCCTTTATTTGTGCAATGCATGCAGTATTGTCCTCATACAATAAGGTCGGATTTCCTGTAATTGCTTTAAGACCACATGTTACTTGAACATGCTGGATCAAAGATCTTAACCATACACATTCCCGACTAGCCTCATATAGGGCAATTAATTCTGATTGATTTGAGGATGTGGCAACAATGGTTTGTTTGGTTGAACGCCAAGAAATTGTGGTACCACCATATGTGAATAAATATCCAGTTTGTAATCTCCCTTTATGTGGATCAGACAAATATCCAGCGTCTGCATATCCAACTAACTCTAGTTTTGAGTGCTTTGAGTAAAATAATCCCATATCTTTTGTTCCTTGAAGATAACAGAATAAATGTTTAATGCCATTCCAATGTCTTCGTGTTGGTGCAGAACTATATCTTGCTAACAAATTCACAGAAAACGCGATATCAGGTCACGTATTGTTAGCTAAATACATCAATGCACCTATGGCACTTAAATATGGTACCTCAGGACCAAGAATTTCTTCATTATCTTCACGAGGTCGAAAAGGATCTTTCTTTACACCAAGGGATCGAACAACCATTGGAGAGCTTAAAGGATGAGATTTGTCCATATTAAATCTCTTCAATATCTTTTCAACATAATTGAGTTGATGGACAAAAATTCCATTTGATAAGTGCTCGATCTGTAGACCAAGACAAAATTTTGTTGTCCTGAGATCTTTCATCTCGAATTCTTTCTTTAAACATTCAATTGCCTTTTCAAGCTCTCCAGATGTCCCAATGATATTTATATCATCAACATATACAGCAATGATAGCAAAACCAGATTTTGACCTCTTGGTAAAAACACATGGACTAATGGGATTATTTTCATATCCTTCTGCTTAGGAAGGCTCAGGCCACGAGGTCCACCAAGCATTTCTTCTCAAGCTTTCAAAGTCATTGAAAGTTGGAACGGCTGCGGAAGCCAAAGCCCAACTGAATCTCCGACCTTGAATGTTAGAGTCGGACCTAGCTGTTGCTCCAAATGGATTAGTCCAACACCCCCACGCCACTGGGCCCAAAGGTGCAAGTGCATTGCTTCACCGCCAGAGCAACGGTTCGAATCCGGTCCCATGCGAATTTGTATGTTGGTAGAAGGAAGAATACTTGATGAAATAAGAAACTCCCTCCCTTTTCATTTGTCATCTTGCCATTTTTGTTCTTATTTTATAATACGTTATCAACACGATCGTCTCCACCATTCAATTTGTGGCAAGCTCTTAAGGTAATCATTTGTTTTCCTAATTTAAATTTGATTTTAGTCTAACGAATTTTTGCAGCCACAATGTCAAACTTGACAAAACTTGAATTTGCCACCCTTGATATAACGGGCTCAAATTATTTGCCATGGATACTTGATGCTGAAATCCATTTGGCTGCAAATAATCTTGGTGAAACAATTGTTGAGGGAAATCAAACCTCCTTACAAGATCGCGCTAAAGCGTTGATATTCCTTCGCCATCATCTCCATGAGGGATTGAAGGCTGAATATTTGACAATCAAAGATCCATTTGAATTATGGCAATATTTGAAAGAAAGATATGATCACCAAAAATCAGTGATACTGCCAAAAGCTCGTTATGAATGGATGCATCTACGATTGCAAGATTTTAAATTTGTGAGTGAGTATAACTCCGCAGTATTCCGCATTTCATCTCAATTAAAATTATGTGGTGAAAAAATTACTAATGAAGATATGTTGGAGAAAACATTCTCCACTTTTCATGCCTCGAATTTGCTTCTTCAGCAACAATATCGAGAACGTGGCTTTAAAAAATATTCAGATTTGATATCATGTCTTCTTGTTGCTGAACAAAATAATGAACTTTTGATGAAAAATCATCAATCACGGCCTACTGGTTCAGCCCCATTACCTGAGGCAAATGCAACCTCATATAATAATTATGGGCGTGGTCGAGGCCGTCGTCATGGTCGTAATCGTGGCAATAATCATGGCCGAGGGTATGCCCGTGGTCGAAATAATACTTGGCATCGTAGAGGTTTCAACCCCAAATATGAATCTGTTGAACCAAAGAATGTAAGGGGTATAAATTTACAAAAGAACCCTACGAAAGTTTCTGAAAGTTTTTGTTATCGATGTAGAGCAAAAGGACATTGTGAGCGTGCTTGTCGCACTGCTAGGCATTTGGTTGATCTTTACCAAGCCTCACTTAATGAAAAGGGAAAAGGAAAAGGAAAAGATCCAGAAATGAATTTCATTGAGCAAAATAATGTGGATCTTGATACACACCTTGATGTTACTGAATTTTTCAAGGCTGTTGAAAAGCTTAATGGTGTTGGTGATACTCAACCAAGAGTTTGACTTATTATGTCCTCTTAAATAATTTGCCTTTTGTGGCCATTTCCCTTTTTTTTATATGTAATGTTCTTTTTATATGCAATAAAAGAATAAGCATTTCAGAATATATATTGATTATTTGTCTCTTCTGTTTCATTTGTCTTTATTTAAGACTAAATGGACTTGGATGATGCTAAGCTCAAAGATGGAGACCTATGTCTTGTTGACAGTGGCACAACACATACCATCTTGAGAAATAAGAATTATTTTTCTCAATTAAAGTTAGCCGAGGCTAATGTTCATACAATATCTGGTATGGCAAAGTTGATTGAAGGCTCTAGAAAAGCTTGCATTTTATTGCCTAGAGGAACAAAATTATTAATACATGATGCTCTATATTCTAGTAGATCAAATCGAAATCTACTAAGTTTTAAAGATATACATCGTAATGGCTTCCATATTGAAACCATGGATGAGAATGGAATAGAATTCCTCCATGTCACAACTTTTGCATTTGGAAAAAAGAAAATATTGGAGAAAATGTTAACATTCTGTTCTGGATTGTATTATACATATATACATCCAATAGAATCCAATGCTGTGACTAATCAGAAAATAGTCAATCCAGATGCATTTATCCTTTGGCATAATCGACTTGGTCATCTAGGTGCTATTATGATGCGGAGAATTATAGGGAGTTCACATGGACACCCATTGAAGAACTTGAGAGTCCTATTATCAAGTGATTTTTCATGTGTTGCTTGCTCCCTTGGTAAATTGATTATCAGGCCTTCTATAACTAAAATAGAAAATGAATCTCCTCCATTGTTGGAACGAATTCAAGGAGATATTTGTGGACCTATAAATCTGCCATCTGGACCATTTTGATATTTTATGGTGTTGATAGATGCTTCAACAAGATGGCCACATGTTTGCCTATTGTCTACACGCAATGTTGCGTTTGCAAGGTTACTTGCACAAATAATAAAATTGAGGGCACAATTTCCTGATTATACAATAAAAAGGATCCGACTTGATAATGCAGGAGAATTTACATCTCAATCATTTAATGATTATTGTATGTCAATTGGGATTACTGTTGAGCATCCAGTTCCTCACATGCATACACAAAATGGTCTGGCTGAATCCCTTATTAAGCGTCTGCAATTAATTGCAAGACCGTTGCTTATGAGATCAAAGTTACCCGCTTCTGCTTGGGGCCATGCTATATTGCATGCTGCAACGTTGATTCGATTAAGGCCAACTGCTTATCATAAGCATTCACCATTACAACTTGTTTCTGGGATTGAACCAAATATATCCCATTTAAAGATTTTTGGCTGTGCTGTATATGTTCCTATTGCTCCTACACAGCGCACTAAAATGGGTCCCCAAAGAAGGCTGGGAATTTATGTTGGTTTTGAATCACCATCTATAATTAAATATCTTGAACCAATGACTAGTGATCTCTTCACAGCAAGATTTGCTGATTGTCATTTTGATGAAAATTTGTTCCCAACATTAGGGGGAAAGGAACAAAAGTTCAAGAAACAGGAATTAACTTGGGATGCATTATCTATATCTCATTTAGACCCTCAAACAGGTCAAAGTGAACTAGAAGTTCAGAAAATTATTCATTTGCAAAAGATTGCAAATCAATTGCCCGACGCATTCACTGATGCAAAGAAAGTAACTAGTTCACACATCCCAGTTTTGAATGTTCCTGCTCGAATTGATATTCCTGTTCAAAAAGGTGCTAAAACAGTAGCAAATGAATCTATTATACGCCAAAAGCGTGGTAGACCTGTCGGTTCCAAAGATAAAAATCCAAGAATGAAGAGAAAGCAGAATGTTGGCTCCATTGAAATTGTAGAGACTCAAAAGTTCTCTAAACAATAGTCAGAAAATGCATCTAAAGAAATAATCCCAGAAAAGGTTCAAGTTGTTGAAAATAATGAAGATGCAGATAATGAAAATAATGATGAGATCTCAATAAATTATATTTCCACTGGGATAAAGTGGAATCGAAATGATGTTGTCATTGATGATGTTTTTGCATTTGCTATAGCAAATGATATAGTTAATGAAAATGAGGATCTTGAACCGAAATCCATTGAAGAATGCCAACAAAGAGGTGATTGGCCAAAAATGGAAAGATGCAATTCAGGCATAATTGAAATCATTAGAAAAACGCCAAGTTTTCAGACCAATTGTCCAAACACCCAATGATGTAAAGCCTGTCGGTTATAAATGGGTGTTTGTGAGAAAAC